CCAAACCACATAGGTTTAGGAGTTGTTGGATATTACTTTTTAAAATTAGTAGTGTTTAGACAGTTTCACGATCCAACATTGTTAAAGTCTTCAGCTGCTTCTACACTTGAAAATCCCGATAGTGTATCCTCAAGGAAAACATTTCAACGCTCAAGTCAGCAATACTCAATATCCTAAAGAAAGATGCTTTCAAAAAGTAATTACAGAGAGTGACGTAAAAGAATTAATATCTTGCATGGAGGTAATTGGGGGTATTTATAGCCCCCAGTACTAACATGAGTTCAAACATGTATTCACCCGATTGGTCCACGTGTTACTACTCACGTGGGCATGTCTTCTCATCTTGGGTCAGTGGGTGTATAATTGGACCTGCTGCAAGTGACCTAAAATTGGTGTTGGGCCTAATCCCAACAAGTAATTAATATTTTTATTTAATTTAATGATTAATAATAAAAATTATCATTAATTTAAATAAATTTATTAATCAAATTAAATAAAATTATTAATTATTAATTTGAAATTATTATACCAAACATCGCTCTACCCGACCCGGTCGGTTACATCATTGGTCTTGAATCAAAGCCAGTCCAAAACCATTCCATGTGGGCAACTAGGGTGGCACTGGCCAGCGCGGTCTCAGATTCTGACGACAAGGAGGATCCAATCTGTACTCTTTTCAGGCCGTTGAAGATCCGACCTGTATTGTACTCGAAGAGAGAATGCTTTGTTGAGCCCAAAGCTTTCAATTTTGAGTTCGCGCTTCCCACGACCCCAAATTTTCCTATTCCTTCCCTCCGCCACCAATTCCGTTTGGAGCCATACGCACGTCAACATTCAGTGCCATCCCGCGATTTAGCCCCCGCCTTTTTATTATTTTTAATAATTAAAAAAAAAAAACCCAAACAAAATAAAGTAATTTCAGAAATACTATATAACTTCTCCAGTTCTCCGCCGTGCAGATTTCGTCGTGGGACTGAACAAATTACTTCCCTTATTAATTTCCCTTATTTAGAGCTTTAAATTTTCTTCAATTTCTAACATTTTATTTTTTCCCCTGGTGGAAGTCGATAACTCAGATCTTAAGTCTTAGGTTTTCGTTTTGAATTGTTTTCTGGAATTACATAAATCAGGGGAAACCAGCGAATCGTCTGTTAGTTGTTTCTCGTCGGAAGAAATTAGGGTTTTAATTGGATTGCGTCGCCGCCGACTCGAATTGGGGGAACCGGTGTTTCAACCCGCGAGGTTGCTTTGGCATTCTTTTTGGCGTTTAGATGTGAAATTAGGGTTTTGGGGTTGGAAGCTGCGAGGATACAAGATGATTATCAAACGGACGATGAAATTTGAAATGCCGAACCTGAAACGCTGCAAGGTTGAAGAGCCTGGCTGTGACGATGAAGAAGAAGACAGTGGTTATACGGTGAAGCCAAAGAGACGAAAGGCGAATGGGTATCATCATTCGTTTGGTGGATTTGAAGATTTGAGCAGCGGCTCGGATTGTTGGAGCAGCGAAGGGAGGTACTGGGCTGGTGAATTGAATTCGAATTTGAAACAAAAGAGAGAATCTAGTAGAGGATTGGATAGATTTAAACCTCCGCTATTGAAATCATCGCGAGGAAGGACGCGAATGCTTCCTTCAAGGTTCAGTGACGCTGTTCTTGATGAATGGAGGAATAAGAAATCTGCAGTCGAGAATCCAGATTCAAGCTCTGATGATGATGAATTCGACGAAGAGAGAGATAATTTTCACTTTGGAAGGCCTAAATTTGATGAAATAGTATATCTGGAGAGGAAGTTCAAACATGAAACCTCCAAGTTCCACCCAGTTTTTAAAAGTGAAAGGGAAGAAGAGGCGGGGCGTATAAGGGTTGGCAATTTTGATTACAGAAGGTATTTGAGTTCTCGTGGTTCTAAGGCTTTGATGCATGATATGAGTTCTTTGCGAGTTGTAGAAACTGGGGAATATATGCCCAGTTATAATTATACAGGTTTAGGGAGGCTCAGCGAAGACAGAGCCGGAAAGAGGAAGGAAGTGTATAAGCTGGAGGATTTTTCTTTGGGTGATATTGTCTGGGCTAAGTGTGGGAAGAGATACCCAACTTGGCCAGCCATAGTGATCGATCCAATATTGCAAGCACCTGAATCAGTCCTGAGCTGTTGCGTTCCTGGTGCCATATGTGTGATGTTTTTTGGGTACTCAAAAAATGGAACGCAAAGGGTAATCTGATCCTTCTGCCTCACATTTTATTGCTTGAGCTTTTGTTTTCTAATATATGAATAACATTTATATTATTATACTAATCATATGGGAAACTGGCAATCGGCAGGACTATGCATGGGTGAAGCAAGGAATGATATTTCCATTCGCAGAGTTCATGGACAGGTGTGTCAATATGCCATCCTGACAGATAATTTCATAATCTGTGTGATAAGAAATATGTTCAGTAGTTTTAAATTTTTTTTTAATAAAAAGAATTATTATTCAGATATCAGGGACAGACCCAATTGTATAAATGGAAACAAAGTGATTTTCAATTGGCAGTGGAGGAGGCTGTTTTAGCAGAAAACGGTTACCTGGATGCAAACCTTAACGCTCAACAAACAGCTGACCTAGATGCCCACCCCTGCGCTTCAAGTCAGGACAGGGATCCTTACTTGCATAATCAGGCAAGTGATTTAGAACCCATGTCCTATATTTTCTCCAGAATGCGTGACACCTGACTTCTATGATGCTAGTTGCTAGGCCTTTGTAACTCTTCTGCTGCACACCTTATTTAGTGCTAAGAGCTATTTAGCCTCTGCGTGATACTAGATATCCTTCACATTCACAAATCTGGTGCAGGTCCACATATTTTTATTGAATCACAGGCAGTGTGGTGGTGCTAGTGAGGGGTTTAGTTTCTACTGTTTTAGAAGTTTAATGTGAAAGCAGATTTATTTGATTCGAAACAAGTAGCAGAAACTTCCTCCATTTAGGGCTTGTTTGATTAGAGGGCCAACTCTATATTGGGAAAGTAGTTAGGAAAGTATTATATGGAAAGTTAATAAGTGTTGTACGGAAAGTTGATAAGTTTTGTAGGTAAATTTTGTTGGATTGTTAACTTTTTCTTTGTTTAGTAAAAAATTGGTATAACGAAAGTTGGTAGGAAAGTTGTCAAGTGGGTCTT